ATACATATACACATATATGCATATATACATATATACATATATGCATATATGCATATATCCATATATGCATATATACATATATACATACATACATATATACATATATACATATATACATATATACATATATACATATATACATAGATACATAGATACATAGATACATAGATAAATATATACATATATACATAGATACATAGATACATAGATACATAGATACATAGATACATATACATAGATACATAGATAGATAGATAGATAGATAGTGTATTATCTTTTTTAATATTAAAACGCATATTATCATATACAGTTTTCACAATAATAAATATAGCTAAATAACAATTGTTATATACATGTTTATATAACAGCATATGATTTATATCCAACCTCTGAAAACACAGACAGGCTGCTATTTGCAGTATTTGCAGTGTCTGACAACGCAGAAATGCTGCCATTTACAGTATCTGAAGCCTCTGAAAACACAGCAATGCTGCTATTTAGTGCCCTTCGTTGCAGCGTCTGAAAAACCCAGAAATGCTGCTATATACATTTTATGTCAGAAATGCTGCTACGTACAGTATTTGCAGCCAACGCAATGCAGAAATTCTGCTATTTACAGTATGTGAAGCTTCTGACTACGCAGAAATGCTGCTATTTGCAGTATTGGAAGCCGCTGACAACACAGAAATGCTGCTATCTACAGTCTTGGAAGCTTCTGACAACGCAGAAATGCAGCTATTTACAGTATTTGAAGCCTCTGACAACGCAGAAATGCTGCTATTTATCGTATTGGTACAGAATTTGCAGCCTCTTGACAACGCAGAAATTCTGCTATTTACAGTATTTGCAGCCTCTGACAACGCAGAAATGCTGCTATTTACAGTATTTGAAGCCTCTGACAACGCAGAAATGCTGCCATTTGAAGTATTTGAAGCCTCTGACAACGCAGAAATGCTGCTATTTACAGTATTTGCAGCCTCTCTAAACGCAGAAATGCTGCTATTTACAGTATTTGCGAAGCCAAGCTGAGCCACACCTTTTTAAAAAAGCGTCCGAGCCACACCTTTTAAAAAAAAAAAAACCCTCCCGCCAGAACTTTCTGGGTTTGATTAGGCGCAGATTTTTAAGTTCTGCGGGCCCTCCCTGTAGAACCCCACCCATCGGCAGGACTGGGCATGTAGGGTGGTAGGAACCCCAAACCCTAAGCCCTACACCCTAAACCCTACACCCTAAACCCTAAACCCTAAACCCTAAACCCTGTATCCTTGACTGGAAAAGCTGCGCAAAGCTGCTTGGTACCCTGACCTCTCTGCATCGGTCTTATGTTGAGGCTAGGGCCTGGGGATTCTCAACCCTGAACCGGAAGGTTTGGGGTTTGGGGTTTAGGGTTTAGGGTTTTGGGTTTAGGGTTTGGGGTTTAGGGTTTTAGGGATTAGGATTTTAGGGTTTAGGGCTTAGGGCTTAGGGTTTAGGGTGCGAAGATGCACGGCCAAGGAAGTGCAGGTCACTTTGCCGGAGGAGGCGGAGGAGGTTCGATTCGACTGACCCTAAACCTTAAACCCGAAGCCCGAAACCCTAAACCCAAACACCTCGAAAAGATACCCCTTCTCTCAGAATGTGGCTAGCCGTTTGCAAGCTCTTTTGACTACTTGTATCCCTTAGAAACCCCATTATAATCTCATAACCCACCTTACCAACCCTACTCCCAGAAGCAAAAGGCTTTCCGAGTGGACCAGAGTGCCCAAATTCCTAAACCCTAAACCCTAAACCCTAAACCCTGAAGTTCAGGCTTTGGGTCTCCGAAGCTCCAAAATGTGTGTCTTTGCATTTCTGGGGTGCAGGGCTTGGGGACCTTGAACCACAAAACTAATTTAGGGTCGGAATAGTTACTCATCGTATTCTTTTGTAGTTCTTATATGGCTAGACTATAATAACCCCCAACCCTAAACCCTAGGCCCTAAACCCTAAACCCTAAACCCTAAACCCTAGTCTACTTCCTAAGGCCCCCCCAAAATCACGCAGCGTTGCTGGAAAAATGATAGGTTTTGAGGGTGTGGGACGCCGACCGCGTGAACTCTCCAGTTGGGAAGGTTTAGGGTTTAGGGTTTAGGGTCTAGGGTCTAGGGTTTAGGGTTTAGGGTTTAGGGTTTAGGGTTTAGGGTTTAGGGTTCAGACTCCCAGTTGGGAAGGCCGGAGGCAGCAAGCAGCCGGCTACGGAAGAGACCCAGGAAAATGGCCCGGAGGCCAGCCACAGGGGCTTTGGGGTTTAGGGTTTAGGGTTTAGGGTTTAGGGTGTTGGGATTTGGGGTTTCGGGTTTTTGGGGGCTTTTGGGGGGTTTAGAGTTTGGAGTGGTTTTGGGGGGGTTTTTGGGTTTGGGGTTTAGAGTGTAGGGTTTGGGGTTTGGGCTGGGTTTGGGATTTTTGGGGGGGGTTTGCGGTTTAGGGTTTAGAGCTGAGTGTAGGGTTTTAGGCTTTGGGGTTAGGTGTTTTTTTGCTGGATATTGAGTTCTGGTTTTTGCTGGAGGTGCTTTTGGGGGTTTGGGCCTTCCAAAGCGCCGGGATCTCAGAGTTCGACTGGTTCTTAGTAGAGAATGAGCTAGGGTTTAGGGTTTAGGGTTTAGGGTTTAGGGTTTAGGGTTCAGGGCTAGTAGGGAATGAGGGAATTAGGCACCTTATGTCCTGCACTTTAAAGCTTTTTAAGGGACGACATAGGACTAAGAACCAGGAAGTGCACCTGTGGCAGCTGAGTGTGCCCCTCATTGGGTTTAGGGCTTTGAGAGGATCACATTTAGGGAATAGTTTTCAGAGTGAGCCGCCTTTTTCTAGGGTTTAGGGTTTGGGAGGACCAAGAGCAAGCCAGGGACTTTGGTAAGACGGAAAAACGAAGCATCTTCGCTTGGCATTCGCCTTGCATCTGTTCGAGCAGTGTCGGGTACGGGCCGCCCCGGAAGCTTGGAGTTCAGTCGTGGAGGAGCGGCATCTGCATGCTGCCGAGGCGCTGGGGGAAGTACCTGGAGACTGTCACCTCCAAGTTCCAGCACGCCGCAGGACGAGCGTCCCGGTACTTCTGGCGGCCAGCGCCAGAGTGCTCGGGGATTGAACGAGGTCCTCAACACCGACTGGTTCTTTGCTGAGCTGCGGCCCCCCGCAATCTTTGTCGCTCTGGCGTCTCGCTCAGTTGAGGGTTTCGAGGGTTCATAATCTCGCCCTTCGAGGAGCGTTTGGGAGTCCGGAAGTCGGGCCTCAGCCCTCAACCTGGAGGTTTTAGGGTCTAGGGGCTAAGGGTTGCGCTAAACCCCAAACCCTAGCACCCTAACACCGCAACAACCTAACACCCTAACACCCTCATCCCTGGTGCCTAGCCTTGAACCAACTTAAGCCCAAAAACATCCCAAAACATCCAAACACCCTAAACCCCAAATCCAAAAACCCTCAAGCCTAAAACCCTAGCACCCTAGAACCCTAAACCAAAACCACAAGCCCTAAATGGCTCATCGTTGAAAATACTTTGTACATTTTTGAATACTTAAACCCAAAAAGGAAAAAACATGATCATGTTTAGATAGTGCCCAACAATGGCCCAGAAAACCCTAGAACCCTACAGCCCTACAACTCCAGACCCTACTACAACCTGTAAAACCCTAAAACCCTCAGCCCCTTTTCTTGTGTCAGCCGGACTCAGGCGCCGGATCCGCCAGAACCTCCGAGCCTGCTGGAGGAACAGGCGCTGTCGAAGAGGGTTCCCGGTTCTGGGCCTCGGAGTAGTTTGCTACTATTTGCTCAAGAACCCCCCCCCCCAAAAAAAAAAAAAAAGTATATATATATATATATATATAATAAAGGATGAATAATCGTGAAAAAGACAACAAATCCCCATTTGCCCTTCTAAAGAGAAATATTGGTTTACCAACCAATGGCGCACATTTCAGACTCTAGGACCCAGAGTAGGCCCTCATCCCACTTTCTTTTTAGGGTTCAGTTTCCTAAGCCCTAAACCCTAAACCCTAAACCCCCTTGTCGTCCTCCCCTTTTAGGGGTAGCCTCCAAGTAGGGATCTATGGGTTGCAGACTTGAGGTCTTCGGGCCAGTTGGACTCGAATGGCTTGGGGCTTGGGGTTTAGGGTTTAGGGTTTGGGGTTTCGGGTTTAGGGTTTAGGGTTTAGGGTTTGGGGTTTAGGGTTTAGGGTTTAGGGTTTGGGGTTTAGGGTTTAGGGTTTGGGGTTTAGGGCTTGGGGTTTTCGAGGGGGTCGACCTTGTGCCCGAGCAGGTTCCCTCCACATGCTCATCATGTGGCAGCCCAAGGTAGCCGAACAGAAATTCAACCCGAAACCCTAAACCCTAAACCCTAATGTTGGAAGCAGACAGGCCAACAGAATGAAACGACCCCCCCCCCCCCCCCCTCACACACGCACACCCTAAACCCTAAACCCTAACCCCTAAACCCCCCCCCCCCCTCCCACAACAAAAAAAGAAGGAGGAGGCGGAGGCACCGAAGGAGGAGAACCTCGAGGAGAGCATTGCGCCCTAAGAAGGGTTAAGAAGGGGGTTAGGTTTTGGGGGTTCAGGGGTTTCGGTGTTTCGGGTCGAGGGGATTCTTTCTCGCCGATACATCAAATTGCCGGGGGAGGCCGAGAGGGGGCGAGGGGGTGTGATTTGCATGTAGCAACTCAGTCAGGCAGGGCCAAGGGAGTGGGGGACAGGGAGGTGGGGCTGAGGATTTGCTGTGGGCTGAGGTTTGCGGTTCATGGTTTGGGGGGGGGGGGGGGGCTCCTGACGTGAGCAAGATACCCTCAACCCTAAACCCTCAACCCTAAAACACCTTCTTATGGGTGGACCACTTAGGCCTCTAACCTTAAACTGGCACCCTGTTGCCCAATACCCACCCACTGGTACCGCTTGAAGCTGAGTGAGACACTTAGACAATGAACTCGGACAGTCCAGAAAGCTACATGATGTGCATACTCATTGCTGCCTAGGAGATACTTGGTGATAGAGCGCAGATGATGCTGGAAGGGTCTACTTGGCCAACCAACAATGCCATGTGGAGTAAAACGTCTCAGTGTGCGATCGGAGACAGCGCAGCTTACGTTGAAAGCTGGCACAGCCCGCGGCAGACCGAAATGTTCGCGAAGCCGGACTGCAGTTCGATAGCGAAGGGGGTGTCAGAACCACGCTTCCCGTTCCCAGTAGCAGGACCTAGATTCACAGGATCCAAACCCTAAACCCTAAACCCTAAACCCTAACCCCCCCCCCCCCAATTATCCACGATGCCCGGTTGCTTGCTCATCCCGAAGCTCTAAACCGAGGAGCCCCCCTGAAACCCTAGAACCGTGAAACCCTGGCATCCTAAAAAGCCTTGAAAACCCTAACACCCTAAACACCCTAAGCACCCTGAAACCCTAACACCCTAAACCCCCGAAACCCCCCTAAAACCTAAACCCTAACACCCTAAACCCTGCTAACTTTCCGAAACCCGAAATGCCCTAAACCCCCTAAAACCTAAACCCCAACACCCTCAACCCTGCTAACTTTCCGAAGCCCGAAACACCCTGAAGCCCTAAAGAAGGAGCCCCTAAACCCCCGAAACGCCCTAAAACCTAAACCCTAACACCCTAAACCCTGTTAACTTTCCTAAGCCCGAAACACCCTGAAGCCCTAAACCCTAAACCCTTAAACCATAAACCCTAAACCTGAAGCCCTAAAGAAGGAGCCGGACGGTGGCCGCCAGGGCTCCCTCTTCGATACATTGCCAGCGACGAAGGCCAGGCGTAGCCTTTGGTGTCAGGGGGTTTGGGGTTTGGGGTTTGGGTTTGGGGTTTGGGGTTTGGGGGAAACCCTAAACCCTAAACCCTAAACCCTAAACCCTAAACCCTACATGTTTGGGGTTTTTAGGGTTTGGGGCTCATTCTGTGAGCCCCTCCTGTCAAAGGAGCTGGAGCCGAGCGGCGTGCGCGTCGCCGGCGACCTTCCGCTTTCGCAGCGGCTGCGGCGGAGTGGGGCCGCGGCCTCTGAGGACAAGCCCTAAACCCTAAAGGGTCTAGGGTTTAGGGTTTAGGGTTTAGGGTCTAGGGTTTAGGGTTTAGGGTTTAGGGTTTAGGGTTTAGGGTTTAGGGTTCTGTTGAATGTTTTATCTTTAGAGTGCTTAAGAAGACTTGGAGGCTTTAGCTTCAGAGGTTTGGGGAGCTTAGTGGCTGAAGGAGATGCAGACTTTAATCCGAGGATCTGATGAATAAAACCACCGAAATTTAATGCAAATATTTTTTGCCCCGAACCCTCCGGGAAGACTACGTTCCATTACGGGAGCCAAAAGCCCCAAAATGCACCAACAAACCCCTTAAAGTAAAAGATTTGGGGGCCCAACAAAATTGGAATTGCTGAAGGCTACAGGAACAATGGAAATTCTTTTGAATTGGAGACTGCAGCAGAAAACTGCGATTCCTTACTACTGTTCATTTAGGATCATTGCCCAAATCATTCGCTCCTGACCTACCCCTTACAGGGCCGGAATTCAGGCGAGAATTTTGGATTAATAAAACCCCCTAAAATAATGGAAAGCCAGGCAGGCCACCATGACGATGAGCACAGAGAGTTTGAGTAAGCAAGTGCCCAGGTCCTCTCCTGCTTTTTTGGAGTTGGAGGCTGCAGCAGAAAACTGCGATTCCTTACCATTTTTCATCTAGGATCATTGCTCAAATCATTCGCTCCTGACCTATCCCTTACGGGGCCGGAATTCAGGCCAGAATTTGGGATGAATAACACCCCCTAAAAGAATGGCAAGCCCCGGCGGGCCCACCATGACGTGGCAAAAACATAAATAAGCCTTCCAAAAGAGGAGCGGAAAAGGACGCAAGAGGACAGCCCCTTTCCGCGCACCTCCCCCAACCCCCCTCCCCCCAATCCCAGCCCAGGAAATAACAGACCCCTTGCCATTATTCTCGGGGGGGTGTGGGAGGGGGGGGGGGCCCTACTAATCAAGAGCACGGATTAGGGGATCTCCCGAAACCTAACCCCCAAGAAGCTTGAGGTACCGAGCTGACCTAAGCCCATGAGCCCTCTCTCATCATCCCCTTGTTCCGGGTTTAGGGTTTAGGCGGTTTAGGGTTTAGGGTTTAGCGTTTTGGGTTAGGGTCTAGGGATCCCTGAAAAGTATGAACTACCCAAATACCCTAAACCCGAAGCGCGCCCCTTGTGTGTGACCCCTTCTCCATCCTAAAAAGCCAGTTTTCCAACCTTGCCTTGGTCCCCCCGGGAAGGCCCTGAGGAGAAATGCTGTCATTCCCTGATTGGGTTTAGGGTTTAGGGTTTAACTTTTTTCAGAGGTTTAAGGACCCACCAGTAAGTGCGCATGGTTTGGGAGTGCTTTACGGTCTCCGAGCTTGGAGAATTGCAGTAGGATGAAGGGCATCGGGGTTTTTTAAAGGTTTCGCGGCTCTAGAGGCTTCTGGAGTTTCGCGGCTCAAGGTTAAGATACAGGGTTTCGAGCTCAGGGCCCTACGAAGCCTGTCAGGCTCAAGCCGATCCTTAATATGCAATTCCGTTTAGGGTTTAGGGTTTAGGGTTTAGGACAAAACCCTTAGAAATAAACGGTCAACATGGTGGGGAGTGGGCGGGGAGGGGGCTAGAAGCTACCTCACTCCCGACTTGAGCCCTAAACCCTAAACCCTACACCCTAAACCCTAAACTAAACCCTAAACCCTAAACCCTAAACCCTAAACCCTAAACCCTAAACCCTAAACCCTAAACCCTAAACCCTAAACCCTAAACCCTAAACCCTAAACCCTAAACCCAACCATGAAGACCTCGTAAGCTGCCATGATGCCCCAGCGCCTTAAGGTGCGCGGCACCCTGGTTCGGCTCTCTCACAAGAGCCAAGGTTTCCAGGCAGCGGAGTGTTTTGGAGGGTTTAGGGGTTGCTTGGGTTTAGGGTTTAGGGTTGAGAGTTTAGGGTTTAGGGTTTCGGGTTTTTTGGGGTGCCCTAGTTCAATCAAGGGATTCAGACTCGTATCAACCTTAGCTTCCCCCCAAGATACTCTTATTGTGGCCCTTATACTGCCTGAGGATCTTTAAACAGGGTCCCCAAAATCCAAGGGTACAACCTTAAGGGTCCGAGGTACAACCCCGACATTCAAGCGCTCCGCATCATAGGTGGAAACCAGAGCAAGCTCCATACTTTGTGGTGCTTTACTGTAACTTTAGATCCTTACCTTTTTTGGGTTTATTGGGTTTCTTATTAAGGCAGCCAAAAGTTTACTTTATAGCTACCCTCCTGAGTGCAGCCAAGCATATACTCTCGCAGATGATGGGGGCGTCAGATAGCGTAGAACTGCACCGTCGTCCCAATCTCTGGCGCTGCCGCAGTTGAGGTTTTAGGGTATAGCGTTTAGAGTCAGAAACCAAATAGTATCCCGAGGCTCTTGGGATGTTTGAAGCTTAAACCCTAACCCCTAAACCCTAAACGTCAGTGTTTAAGGTCCAGGTTTGAACCACATCACAGTCAGGAGTATGTTTCACGGGGTTTACATAGCCAACCGAGAAGACCTGGAGAGCCCCTTACCTCCCCCCCTGATTAAGGAATAAACCATAAAACTATATGCATCGATTGATATACAACTATATGTACATACATGTCTACAGATATATATATATGTATACATACATATATATATATGTGTATAGTTACGTATGTACTTGTTGTTCGTTTTTTGTGACATGTATAGTTGTCCTTCTTGTGAATTCAATTTTTTGCGGGGTTTGGGAATAGGCCTCAAGGTATACATAGAGTGCGCAAACCCCAAGCCCTCCGTGTTACCCGGTATTGAGCATTTCATGCCCAACTGAACGGCTGATCTCAACACTCATGGACTCTTCTTGGGCATCCTAATGTTTTAGCAAAGTGTTGCCGTTGAGCCCCCCAGAAGGCCCTGAACTGTGTATGGGCTTGACAAAAGTTCCTGCTAATCGCTTAAGAACAACCCAAGAACTTCAGATGGTTTAGGGTTTAGGGTTTAGGGTTTAGGGTTTAGGGTTTAGGGTTTAGGGTTTAGGGTTTAGGGTTTAGGGTTTAGGGTTTAGGGTTTAGGGTTTAGGGTTAGGGTTTACCCAATAAGCCCGATAAGCCCAGTGAACCCCGAGACGTCCAACATCAAGAACCACCCAGCCACCTGGCGACGCAGGCCGATCCGACCCGGCACTATGTGCGTCTGATCCTGGGACGCGTTTAGGGTTTCGGGTTTAGGGTTTTGGGTTTTGGGGCTTCGCCCTGATCCCCAAACCCGCAGCCCGAAGAGTTTGGGAATTTGCTGGTTGAAGGGCTTCGGGCCCTCAACCCTAAAACCCCCAAAATCCTTAACCCTTAACCCCTCTTGGTGGGTGGCCTGGGGGGAGGTCTTATGCTCTGCAAGAAGCCCTGAAACAATCAAACCTGAATCCCATCATCACCCTAAAACCTTTGCACCCCCAATACCGCTAAGCGCTAAACCCTAAACCCCTGAAGCTTCCGTTTTTAAGACCCTCCACGTGCTCTCGCACGAGCTTGGCCTTCGAGTCTTCATGCAACCCTTGAGGCGTGTCATTCCGTTTGCAACGACACACGCAACTCCATACGGCACACCGGGTTACAGCATTTGCCTCCTTCCATTGGCAATTGTTTTAGGGTTTAGGGTTGTAGGGTTTTAGGGTTTTAGGGTCTTAGGGGTTTAGGGGTTTAGGGTTTAGGGTTTCGAATGCAGCCCACCGGCCGTTTGGGGGGGCGGGGGGGGCCCGCAGAAGCGAGCCAGGATGGGCGCGGGGGCAGCCTGGAGTTATTGTTTGTGTTCGTTTGGCTTGGAGCCCATGCGCTGTCTCAAGACAGGCCGAAGAAGGAGCCGAAACCAAAAAAGCCGAAGGAGAAGGAGGCGGAAGCAGAATTCGGGGATGAAGAGGGTCGAAACCCCTGGACGCTGTGCCAGCGCAAGCATGCACTCAGTCTGTACTGATGTTTAGCAGCAATATCGAAACCCTAAACCCTAAACCCTAAACCCTAAACCCTAAACCCTAAACCCTAAACCCTAAACCCTAAACCCTAAACCCTAAACCCTAAACCCTAAACCCCAATACCAGCTTTTCCCACAGCCCGGAGCTCCCTGAGTCCCTAATAGCCTAAGGCCTCTCAACCCCCTAAACCCCAAACCCTCTAAAGCCCTAAACCCCTCAAACCCTCTAAAACCCTAAAACCCTCTAAAACCCTCTAAAGCCCTAAACCCCTAAAACCCTCTAAAACCCTAAAACTGAAGCAACTGTCGCATGTCTAGGTGTGGGACGTCCACCTTCTGCAAAACCCTAAGCCCTCAACCCTCTAAAACCCTGGACCCGCAACCCCTCCAAAACCCTAAACCCCAAAGCCCCCCAAAATCCAAAGCTCTTTTGACTTAGCAAGTCTACTTGGTATCCCCTGGAAGCCCTATTGAAAATTTACGTAACCCCCCCCCCCCACCACGACCCCAAGCCCTAAACCCGAAACCCTAAGCCCCAAACCCTAAACCCTAAACCCTAAACCCTAAACCCTAAACCCTAAACCCTAAACCCTAAACCCTAAACCCTAAACCCTAAACCCTAAACCCTAAACCCTAAACCCTAAACCCTGCCCTAAACCCAGGATCTCCTGGCTGCGGCTCTCGACGTCCCTGGCCGACCAGCTGCCGGCCGACATGCTCGAGGCAAAAGGGTATAGGGGTTTAGGGTTTAGGGCTAGGGTTTAGGGTTTAGGGCTAGGGTTTAGGGGTTTTGGGGTTTTGGGGTTTTGGGGTTTTGGGGTCTTGGGGTCTTGGGGTTTTGGGGTTTTGGGGTTTTGGGGTTTTGGGGTTTTGGGGTTTTGGGGTTTTGGGTTTTGGGGTTTTGGGGTTTAGGGGTTTAGGGGTTTAGGGGTTTAGGGGTTTAAGTTTAGGGTTTAGGGTTTAGGGTTTAGGGTTTAGGGGTTCAGGGTTCAGGGCTTAGGGTTCAGGATTTTACAGTGCAGAGAGTCGGCGAGGGCTTTAGGGTTGTGAGGTGTTTGAGGGTTTTGCGGGTTTGAGGGGCCTGAGAGGCTTGAGGGGCTTGAGGGGTTTTTGGATGTAGGTTTTAGGTTTGAGGGGTTTGAGGGGTTTGAGGCGCTTGGAGGGGCTTTTGGATGGTTTTAGGGTTTGGGGTTTAGGGTTTAGGCTTTAGGGTTTAGGGTTTAGGGTTTAGGGTGAGGGTTTGAGGGTTAGGGCTTTTGGGGATTGGGCGCGCGGAAAGGTGCAAACTCACTGGAGTTGAGCGCCGAAGTTCAGATTGTGTTCCAAACCCTAAACCCTAAACCCTAAACCCTCCACCCTAAACCCTAAACCCTAAACCCTAAACCCTAAACCCCAAACCCTAAACCCTAAACCCTAAACTCCTTCCAGGGCCTCATGCGGCCCCTGCTGGGCCCCGCCTATCGCTGCAGCACAGCGTTCCGCAGCTCGGGCCGGCTCCCTGATGTGGTCACCTTAGACCAGGCTCCTCTGAGGGTTTAGGGTTTAGGGTTAGGGTTTAGGGTTTAGGGTTGAGGTTTAGGGTTTAGGGGTACCCCTAAAGGTTCCCCTTAAAATTCTCCTAATATGGCCCTTGTATTCCCTAAGAGGGATCCTTAAAAAGGGGCCCTAAAACCTAAGGGTACAACCTTAAGGGTCCAAGGTAGAACCCCTAGACCAGGCGCCTTTGAGGGACAGGGCCTGGGATGTCTTGCTTGGCCAATATTGAACTTCAAGCTTGTTTGGGTTTTCTATTCTGTAGGAATACTCAAGTTTCACCTCTTTTCCCTCGGTTCTTGGAGAAAAGAGATGTAGGAGCTTGGGGTTTTAGGGTTCGAAGGGTTGAGGGTGATGATTTTGTTCATGGGTTTACCCCAAACCTCAGAGCCCCTAAGCCCTGTACTTCTTGGGTGTAGGACTCAGGGACTCAGGGAAGTCTAGGGGTTCGGGCCACGGTTAGCTTGAACGTCTGGCAACTTGCATGAGAATTGGTTACAGCCCACCCTAAACCCCAAACCCTACACCCTATAAACCCTATTTTTGGGCAGGTGTTCATCGCCCTCCTGGCTGTTCCATGAACCCTCAAGAAAGAATCCTGGACCTTTAGACCCTTAACCCCCTACCCCGGAACACCACTCTACTGATAGCTAGATGTTGCAGCTTTGTCGTGTATGTATATATACATATATATTATGCACATATATATATATATACATATGTGCGGTCACGTCGATTATGTGGCAGGAGGTTTTCGTTTTGGCAGAGCTTAATGCTGTGCTCATGACAAATGTGGCAGAGCAATAGCCCCCCCGCCCACAAAGAAAAGGAGGCTATCATTGGGATGTACATGCATGCTAAGTGTGTGTATGTATATATATATATATAAGTAGATACATGTATACATGTATCTTAAATGCTAGCTGCCGTACTTGCGGACTAAGCTCAAAGAAAACGGAGCGAGGAAAGAAGCTAGTGGTAGGGTTTAGGGTTCTAGTGCCTTGGTTTTCCCCCTAGTAGCCCAGCCAAAGCATGTTGTTGCGGCTAAAGGTTGCGAGCCTGAATCCCCGATCCGAGACCGGGTACCGCTTTCAACTTCTTTTTTTCAGTTTTTCCTCCTCCTGAGTTTTCTTTTTCTTCTTCTTCTTCACTTCTTCTTATTCTTATTCTTCTTCTTCCACTTATTCTTCTTATTATTCTTCTTGTTCTTATTCTTATTCGTCCGCTTGTTCTTGTAGAACCCTGGTTCGGGGTGGTTGAGGACTAGGAAATCGCGGCCAGGCGATGCAACTCGACGCCAAGCAGCGACGCGAGTACCTCGCGGAGCTTGGACAGTGCCCCGGCACCAGTACGGTTTTTAGGCTCTAGACTCTAAAACCCTGAAACCCTAAATCCTTAAACCCTAAACCCTAAACCCCTAAACCCCTAAACCCCTAAACCCTAAACCCCTAAACCCCTAAACCCTAAACCCTAGACTCAAGGCTTCGGCCGCCCCCCCCCCCCCCCCCACCCCATAGCTGCCTTTCGCTCGCAACCTTCGCAGCTTCTGCAACACTAGCCTACGGCCACGCAGCGGGTTTAGGGTTTGGGGTTTGGGGTTTAGGGTTTAGGGTTTAGGGTTTAGGGTTTAGGGTTTAGGAAGCTTCTCAAACTCGATCAAGGCCTCCACCCCAAAATGGCCCCCCCAGGGTTTTCTGCCCCAAGCCCGAAACCCTAAACCCCTAAACCCTAAACCCTAAACCCTAAACCCTAAACCCTAAACCCTAAACCCTGAACGAATCCTCAGCCGCAAGCTTGGCAGCCTCTGCTCTCTCTGCAAGGCTCAGCTCCCCCACTCTATCCGTCGCTCCCGGTTTAGGGTTTAGGGTTGAGGGTTGAGGGTTTAGGGTTTAGGGTTTAGGGTTTAGGGTCTCTTCCTCATTCTCGCGGTCCCTCTTCCTTTCTCGCTCCCTAAGACCCGAAGTGTGCAGGGCCTTCATCGACCGCGCCAGCGAGCGCATGAAGGAAGCAAGGTGGGCTGCTCATGATACTTGTGGGTTTAGGGTTTAGGGTTTAGGGTTTAGGGTTTAGGGTGGGATAGAGTTGTTTGGGGTTGAGGGGCTTTGCCTTTGTGTAGGGTGCAACATGTTGGGGTTCTGTGGTGCTTCAGGTTGCATGTGAGGCGCGACTGGGTGGCGTAGGAAAAGTGTATCAAGCAGGCTTGCTGCAAAGAGATACAGGAAACCCCAACAGGAGCTCAATCAATTTTACTTTCGGCGGCTGATGGGTTCGGGCGTTCCCTTGCAGTTGCCTTGTTGAATAGTGATGCCATTAGTCTGGATATTTTTGCTCAGGGCTGTGATGGCTCTTGCAGTCACCTATTGTTGTAACCGTTGCTACAACGGACGGGAACGAAAACAGGCCGAGTTGGGTGAGGAGCTCAACAGGCTGTTGAGCTCCTCGTTATGGGTTTGGGTTTAGTGTTTAGGGTTTAGGGTTTAGGGTTTGGTATGGGGTTTAAGGTTTTGGTTTAGACCCCCTACCCCCGTGGCTCGGTACTGAAATTCCAAATCTTAAGCCCTTCGCTTTTAACCCCAAACCCTAAACGCCTGAACCCCAAACCTACACCAGTCTTGTCACTGGAGGCTTAGACTGGAATCCTACCGCGTTTAGGGCTTAGTCCCTAGGGCCTAGGGAAGTGGATATTAATAACTGCAATATATGCATATGTATGTGTATATATATATATATGTACATGTTTGTTTTTTTAATCATGTATTCGTGTATCTATTTGTACGATATGTATAGAGTATAGATATCTTAGGTTGTTTGTCACAGTATGTTGTTTGTAGGTCGGCTGTCCTAAACCCCCTGATCGCCTCACTCCCATCCAAGGCCCCCCCTTTCACCCTGCCAGGAAGAGCTCTGAGTTCGCGCAGCTTCTGACTTCAGCCCTTGCTTCAGCTGTTTGCTCTAGGGTTGGAGCCACGGGCCCTTCGTGTGGTCCCGTACCCTTGCTACAGGGATCCGAAGTATGGGCCCTTATGATGTATGGTGTAGATAAGGGCTATGAAGCAAGGGACCCAAATTCAGGGCCCATACTGAGAACCTTAGATTTGCGTTTTCGGGCTTTTGATACCCTTAGGTTTGAGTGGTGTTGGGGGGGGGGAAACGACCACGAACCCTAACCCCAAACCCCAAACCCTAAGCCCTAAACCCCAAACCCTAAGCCCTAAACCTTCTTGGCAGAGACCCCCAATCCGTTGAAACAAAAAGAACCCAAAACCCCGCATGGTCCTCCAGCCAACAAAAAGCCAACCAAGGGATCCCAGCTCTCGCGGAGGGTTTAGGGGTTAGGGTTTAGGGTTTAGGGTTTCGGGTTTAGGGTTTAGGTTAGAGGGTTAGCGTTTAGGGTTGAAGGTTGAGGGTTGAGGGTTAGGGTTTGGGGTTTGGAGTTTGGGGTGTCGGGTTTAGGCTTTAATCTTTTCTGCCCCGAAATACGCTAAAGCGGCACATGGTTTGGGGCTTCGGGCTGCGCACCCCTAAAGAGCGACCCAGGCAGTGGTCACAAGCTTAGGGGTCCAAGGTGGAATGCCTTAAGCCCGGAAGGTTTAGGGTTTGGGGTTTAGGGTTTAGGGTTAAGGGTTTAGGGTTTAGGGTTGAGGGTTTGGGGGAATCCCTTAAGTCAGGGGGCTCAAAGTAGCATCCCCTAAGTCGGGGGTATGAGCCTCCAGGAGTCTTGATGCGCCCGAAGTCTTTATGTGTATATATGTATATGTATATATATATATAGATGTACATGTATATTTCGCATATACCTTGAAGGGTTCGGGAAATCCTTGCTTTGGCCAAGGGCCCCTCCCTGGGATAGGAGTTCGGGGTATAAGAACCTAAAGCCCGAAGCAGCAGCGGGCAAGTCCAAACCGGCGCAGTGCTTTCCAGAGGGCACAAGTCAACAAGCAACCAGCAGAAGCCCTCAAAGCCCTCGAAGCCCTGAACCCCTTTGATCCCCAAAGCGGCTGCAGAGCATTCATGCCCCTATCAATGTAAGCTTCCACACATGCCCGAGCAAAGCTTGGTCAAGAAGGGTTTAGGGCTTAGGGTTTAGGGTTTAGGGTTTAGGGTTTAGGGCTTAGGGCTTAGGGTTTAGGGCTTAGGGTTTAGGGTTTAGGGCTTAGGGCTCCGAATCCGTGAGGTGCGGAAGGCCGTGGAAGCAAAGCGAACCGAGCGTGTCCAGAAGCGACGGCTGCAGCCGGTGACAGACCCCGAGGCAAGGGGGCCTCGGGCGGTTTGGGGGAGTTGCGGCTTGCCAAACGCTGAAGTCGGGCGATGCCCACCCCAACATATAAAACACGGACCCCAAACATGCTGTGGGGCGGTAGGGCAGGGGACAGGGAAGCTAACCACTATCTCTTGCTGAAGACAGGTTAAGGGTTAGGGTTTAGTGTTTAGGGTTTCGGGTTTAGGGCACAGCAGCTCAGCACACCCTGTGAATTCTCGACACGAACTTCGATTCGGGGCGTCGGGTTAGCGGAAGCTTAGGGGCTTACGGAGTTAGGGACTTAGGGTTACCGTACTGGGGTCCATAGTATTTCAAGACAATCCTACTATTTGGTGGACTAGATTAGGGTTTAGGGTTTCAGGGTTTAGGGTTTAGGGCTTAGGTCCCTGAATTTCGTAAACTCCTACTTAAGGAGTTAGGGAGTTCGGAGGAGCAGGTGCCGACACCTGCACTCTTTGGCTCATGGTATGGCATGGTGGGACTTACGCGCCTGACCCCCCGAAAAGCCTAGACCCTAAACCCTAAACTCAGGGCCTAGGCCGCCCCCTCTGTAACAGAGGGGGGCGGCGCTTCAGCCCTTCGACCTCTATGGCGAAAGTCGACCCAGGTCGCTTGCCCGCCTCCTGCAGCCCGGAGGTCGGTAGCACCCACGATGGGCCCGGTTCTGGCAGGAACCAGTACTGGTCCCCTTAATAAGGAAAATACCCTAAACCCCAAGCCCTTCGCCCGGATGGGGCTGGCAGCTTCGGGGGGGGTACCCCAAGGCCCCTAGGCCAGGAGGAGCCGGACCCCTCTGCAGGGATGGGGGGCCTCAGGCCAGGCCACCCTGGGCAAACACCCCTGCCCGCCTACGTTTTCTTCTTGCCTGGCCGCTGGCTCCCCCGGCCCCGGGCATCTGGGGTGCCTTCGAGACCTTGCTGGCACCCTTTGACTCTCGGATTCAACGAACGTCATGAAACTGAATCAGTTGTTAAAAGTGGACTGTTTTCTGAGTTTAGGCCTAAACCCTAAAAGGAATCGGTTTGGGTGGCTTTGCCGCCTTGGACGGCGAGGGGTGGGAGAAAAGTGTTAGATGGCCCTCCACAATCGGGCCAAAGCTGCTCTTCGGCACCTCACGAAGCTTTCGAGCTTGTTCCGAAACCTACCCCTCGCAAGCACCCGCAAGAAGTGCGCGGGGGCCCCCTGCAAGGCCATCCGAAAGGCCTTGGGAAGCCCAAGGGCCTTCCCCCCTTCTGCCCCCTGCCGCCCTCTGCCCCCTCCCGGCTTAGAACCGCAATCAGAACATCATGTTTTTTGCTCCAGTGGATATCGGTTTAGGGTTTTGGTCAAAACAAGGTGAAACCCAACCAAAACTACCGCAAACCGGCCCAAACCCCATCCAACTCCAGCCGATTTGAACCCCAGGCCCCTTCACAACAAGGTCAACCCCAACTAAACCCTGAACCCCAAGCCCTAAACCCCCTGAACCCCCTAAACCCCCTAAACCCCCTAAACTCCCTAAACCCCCTAAAACTAAACCCCCTAAACCCCCTAAACCCCCTAACCCTAACCTGAGTTCCCAAACCCGGTCGTCCAAACTCAACATGCATGTCTCGTCAGTGAAGCCGACTCGAAATCTTTCGTTAAACCAAAAGTCTGCCCTGGCGCATCAGGGCGAAGACCCTAAAATTTAGGATATAGTTGCGTTGGCGTGTGAGGATCATGCTGAGAACAGAGATACAGTCGAGTCGGTTGCTAAACCCTAAACCCTAAACCCTCAACCCTAAACCCTAAACCCTAAACCGGCTTTTGCGGCGAAGGCTGCTGCCGCGGCAAAGCGGGGCAAGAACCGGCGCCGTGCACAGGGCAAGAAGCGAAAGTTGGAGGAGCTCCTTGGTCCATTAGGGTTCAGGGTTTAGGGTTCCATGACTAAGGGTTGAGGGTTTGGGTTAAGGGTTCGGATTTGGGCCTTGTAAACCCTAAACCCTTACAGTCACCTTCCAGGATTTAGGGGCGCTTGGAATGAAGAAGTGCTTCCAGGGCAGCTCCAAAGATAAATTGAGTTCAAGGTTTAGGGTTTGGGGAATCGTTTAGGTTCAAGAGGCTCAGCTTCTGCATTGCTGTGCAGGACCATCGACATAGAAATGGCTTAGGCAACACCACCCGAAACCCTCAACCCTAGAACCCTCATCGGCAAGCTCAACCCTATAGCCCTCGGTGCGGGGGGAGTGGGGGCGAGGGGAGTGCCAGCTGCTGTCAAATCTCTGAATGGTAGTCCCTTTTGGGTACCCTATATATGAGAGGCAACCTTTTTTGGAAGAACCCCGCAAGGGACCCATAGCAGAGAAGTGACCACATGCATATTGCGAGTGGAACGGCTAGGTAGGTCCTTCTTGGGAGGTATCTTTATCCCTTATATTGGGCTTGCTTCATTTCTGGGTAATTAGCTAGGTCGGCCCTTTTTGGGGGGTATCTTAATCTTGTCCCTTATGTTGGCTCGAAGCGGATCGTGTGTAGGGACCTTTTTCAAGGTCTGATGCCGAGGAGGATTACCAGCATTAAGGTTCCCTTCCCCCGGTTTAGGGTTTAGGGCTTAGGGCTTAGGGCTTAGGGCTTAGGGCTTAGGGCTTAGGATTGGGATCTCAGACGGCATTGATAATGGGCTTTTATTATTGTCACTGGTGGGTGTATTTGGGGTTGCTTTATGAATATTGCTGAGCGAAAATATGCGGTGTCCTTTTGGGGAAATATACACCCAACTTAAGGTGCCTCCACATCCAATCTGGCCCTTTGCTTCATGATCTGCAGAGACCTCAGTGCTTGCCCCCTAAACCCTAAACCCTAAACTAGGCCATACGACCCTGTGCCACTGCGCCAAACTCCCGAAGCCCCCCGCCTAGTTTCTGTCGGGTTTAGGGTTTAGGGTTTGGGGGTTAGGAGTTTAGGGCTAAGGTTTTTTATGCAGTTAGGGCTTGGGGTTTAGGCTAAGGGCTACAGGTTGCGGATCGAGGGTTGGTTTTAGGGGTTTTAGGGGTTTTAGGGTTTAGGGTTTAGGGTTTAGGGTTAGCCGCCCCGAGGTTGATTCAGACCACCAAAGGCGGACGCGGCAAGCACAAGGTGAAGCAGTCAAAGTCACTGATTCCTTGAGCTGGTCTAGGGCATCGGTTTTGGGTTTTAGGGTTTAGGGTTTAGGGTTTAGGGTTAGGGTTTAGGGTTTAGGGTTTAGGGTTAGAGCCCATTTTGGGATAGGCCCCGCTTGCAGTGTTCCGCAATCGTCTCCTGAACACCTGTGGGGCTTAGGGTTTGTTTAGAGCCACGTCTGCTGCATTTTGGGGCCTAACCCAAAGCCTGAGCTTGACGCAAGCTTCGAAAAGAGGGGGGGGAGCTCTCCTGGATTAGGTTCCTGTTTCTTGGGGGGGGTACCCTGACTAAAAGCCCGTACTACCTTTGCCCTTAAACCCTTAGATCCCTAAACAACCCTACCCCCTAGCAAGATGCTAATATAGGGGTCGGAATACTTACTAGTGGTATCCCCTTATGGTCCCTGTATCATGATACGACAACACCCCCCAATAAGGCCCCTATATTAGCCATATTAGCCTCTAGAGCCATCGGCTGTCGCTCAGAGAAAGCCGTTCAAGATTGGGTGTTTACGAGAATAAGGGACCCCGAATATAGACCCCCAACTAGTAGGGCCCCCTTAGCAGCAGGACGACAATAAGGTACCCCCTAATGTCGTCAACCCCCACCACCCCCCCCCCCCCCCCCCCCAAGTCGACGCTGCTTCAGGGGGTTTCCACGGGCCCCGGATGGATTTTTTAGGGCCTTAGGCTTATTAGGGTTTAGGGTTTAGGGTTTAGGGTTTAGGGTTTAGGGTTTAGGGTTTAGGGTTCAGCATCTCAAGTCCAAGCATTCACTAGTCAAGAAATTACTCCAGAAAAATACCCACCCGCCCGAAGAATCCCACAACATTAAGAAAATATTTCACTTCTGGAACGACCTTGCCCAGTAAAAAAAATGACCTTGCCCAGTAAAAAAATGACCTTGCCCAGTTAAAAAAAAAAAAAAAGACCTTGCCCAGTAAAAAAATGACCTTGCCCAGAAAAAAATGACCTTGCCCAGTAAAAAAATGACCTTGCCCAGCAAAAAAGTGACCTTGCCCAGTAAAAAATGACCTTGCCCAGTAAAAAATGACCTTGCCCAGTAAAACAAATGACCTTGCCCAGTAAAAAAAAATGACCTTGCCCAGTAAAAAATGACCTTGCCCAGTAAAAAAATGACCTTGCCCAAAAATGACCTTGCCCAGTAAAAAAAAATGACCTTGCCCAGTAAAAAAAATGACCTTGCCCAGTAAAAGATGACCTTGCCCAGTAAAAAAATGACCTTGCCCAGTAAAAAAATGACCTTGCCCAGTAAAAACATGACCCTGCCCAGTAACTCCTTAACATTTAAATTATATATGAAAGAGAG